CCCTAAACGGTGGTCTTAAGTGGCCGTCTATGGTGGTCTAAGTGGTGGTCTATTTTTTGGCCATAGGCAGCCCAAATGGTGGTCTTAAGTGGTCTCAAGTGGTCTTAAGTGGTCTTAAGTGGTCTTAAGTGGTCTTAAGTGGTGTGTACCATAGATAGCCTAAATGATGACATAAGTGGTTGTCAAAATGCAGTGGTCTATTGACCTTTGCCGTATAGTGTAGTGGATGGTCTAAGTGCAGACCACAGGCGGTCTAAAAGGTGGTCCAAATGATGGTATAAGTGGTGGTCCAAATGCAGTGGTCCATTGACCAAATGCAACCCTTAAAGGTGGTCTAAGTGGTTGTCCAGATGCAGCGGCGGTCTATTGACCATCGGCGTACAGTGGAGTTTATGGTTTTGAAATTTAAATGGAGAGCAGAAGCACCCTAGATGGTTGGTCTAAATGCAATCGTCTAATTGCAGCGGTTTATTGGCCGTTGGCGTCGGGTGTAGTTGTGGACCGTGAAGGCAGTAGTCTGCAGATCATGGGCATACAGTGTAGACTGTGTAGTGTCTGAATGCAGTGATCGATCGGCGGCAGTGGTCTTAAACCACCACTACATGCCAGCTATCGGTTGCAGGCCCCTTTTGGAGGCCGCCCACCGCTGATTCATTTTATCTACTGCGCTCGGCCTCCTGAGTTTTCGGAGAGGCTCCAAACAGCTTCTCCAGCTGTTTGGGCCCTGGGGCCATGTACTGGTGGTTCAATGGAGTCTCATTGGAGCGGTCTATGGACCGGAGACATGGGGTGAAGGCGAAAGCGATCTGCACTGGGATATGGACAATGAAGACAGTGTACGATATGGTGGTTGAAGTGCGGCGGGCTATCGACCGCAGGTGAACTGCTGAATGCTCTCATATAAATCGACGGTGGACATACAGTGCAGCCTGTACGTCTACGGTTGACGGAACCGGTATGCGCTCTGGCATTCCCACACAGTGTATGGATTCAGGGGCTGCCATTGCATCCCAATGGAATTATGAAATGCAATTTGTGCTCGAGAGCGATTACACAGTAGCATGCAATTTCAAAGGAGGAGGACTACACCGTGTTTTGAAGAGCCTTCAGGGAGCCTTCAGAGAACGTTCGAAGAGATGATCTGCATCTTGTGCTGAGAGGGACTGACCTCACAGCGGCGTGCAATTCCAAAACGGGGGACGACAGCGTGCAGGAAATGCAGTTCAGATAGCCTTCAGAGAACATTCAGAGAACATTCAGAGCACATTCAGAGAACATTCAAAGAGAGGAACTGCATCTTGTGCTGAGAGGTCTGTACACAGTGTATGCAGTTTCAAAGAGGACTACACTCTGCCTGGAATGCAGTTTCAAAGAGCCTACACAGGGAAGTTTCGAAGAGAAGTCTCTACACAGTGCTATGAAATTTCGAAGAGGACTACACCGTGCATGAAATGCAGTTTCAAAGAGTGTTCAGAGCATCTTGTGCTGAGAGGTCTCTACACAGTGGTGTGGAATTTCAAAGGCGAGGACTACACTGTGCATGAAATGCAGTTTCAGAGAGAGTGCAGAGAGAGTTCGAAGATGTGAAGAGACTGACTGCATCTTGTGCTGAGCGGGACGACTCAAGCATTTTGCACTTTAGGTTTCCCGTGCTCAGTCCATGGGAGAGAGGAACTACACCTGTCCGTGTATGGAGTCTGCGCTTTCGACCTCCAGATTTGCGACATTGCAGTTCATCACAGTTCAAGGACGGCAACTGAAAGGTGTCGCTGAGAAGGATTACTGAAGCCTTTTGCTGTTTACGTCTCCCATCGGTAATCCTGTTGCTGTTTACGTCTCCCATGGGTAGGTGGGTCATACTCACACAAAGACTTTTCGTAATGCAGCTGATCGTAGTTACGTTCGGACCCGGATGAATCTGATTGCGATCATGTCCAGAGCGTAGTAGAAAAACCGTCCCACTGTTGAGTATGCCGTTCAGTCAATGCCCCTATGCGTATCGGTAGATGAAGGGCCTCGCCACACCACTCAGTCTCGAAATGTGAAAAAGACAAAAATGTGGCGGGTGCGTCTGGCCGTGTTCTAGCGGGAAGTTCATTCACATTTTGCAAATTTGGAGAGTGGTGGTGTGCCGATGCCCGAAGCCTGTGCTCTTGATTCCCATGCGTGCTTTGGATGAATCTGACCGCAATCATGTCAAGAGCGACATTGCAGTTCATTGCAGAAAAAAATGCAGTTTAAGGACGGCGATTGCAAAATCTTGGAGCAGTACAGCCAGCGGCAGTTTGCAACATGTGCTTTTTCGCTCCCAGACGTGGATTCAGCGGCTGCCAGGTGACCCAACGAACGATTGTAAGTCGTTTCAGCAACTCTGAAAATGTTGGAAAGGTATGGCAATCTGTCCTTAGATGCACAATGTTTTTACCGTTTTGTGCTTCCAGGCTCCGATGGGGAAGAAAACATGTTTTCTGCCTACCAGACTCGGATCTGTGTGCGTTTGTAACTCATGGGGATGGAGCCGGGAGCAGCATTCTTGTCATTTCCAATAGTTGTGTGTTCCCTTCTGCCCACCAGACTCAATCAAGCATGGCCGCCACGGCGCAGGTTTCTCGCATTTGCGCAGGTGCCGCATGTAAGGGACTGCCTAACTGTCTGATGAGGAGCACATAAAGTACTGCCTGACCCGTCCGATGAGGAGGCGGTGTTCTTTTCTTGTTACGAGGTCTTATATGGAGTGTGGACTCGATCAAGCATGGCCGCTACTGCGC